AACACATATAAGAAATACGGCCACTGGGAGAAAAAATTCTCTGGATCAAATTTCTCAGACAATCCAAGGTACAAAATGTTCCAAAACTCTTGGTGCAAATTTCAAGCTATGAAATATTAAGACTTTTGGAACAGCCTGTATAAAAAACCAAAAGCAGTTTCCCAATCAATAAATGGTTACAAGATATGAACAGTTCTCAAAAGAATTACAAACTATTTACAACCATATGAAAAAATCCTTCAAATTCCTACTAAAAGAAATATAAAACAAAACAACCCTGAGGATTCGGGTCATTTCCTGCAAATGTGACAAAAGATGGAGCAGTCAATGTGGAAGGCACGCTGGTGCATCGTTGGTGGAGCTGTCAATCAGTACGACCACTGTGGGAAGCAATCTGGAATCATGCAAATAAAGTGACTAAAAGATCCATAGTCTTTGATTCAGAAATTCCACGACCGGGTTATCCCAATGAAATTACTGTTAAGAATAAAATTTCCATATACACCAAAATATTCACAGGAGGACTTCTGGTGGTGGCAAAGAATTAGAAAGAAAGTAGATGCCCATCAGCTGGGCAACGGCTAAACAAGCTTTGGTATATGAATACAATGGAATATTATGATGCTGGAAGAGACAAATATGATGAATACAGAGAGGCTGGAAAGGCTCCAACGCAGCTTGGCCAAAGCCACACACACACACCACACACAGACACACACAAAAGCAAACAACAACAATGAAGATGCTGAGAACTTACAGTTTCTTCATCTGTCAAATGAGCCAGAGAAGGAAATGGCACACCACTGCAGTGTCTTGGCCAAGAAACTCCCAGAGAGGGTCCCGAAGAAGAGTTAAGGCCCCAAGATGGGCCAAAAGAGGGAAAAGAAAAGGCCGCCCGCCTTGCCCTGCCCTGTCCCCGGCCCCAGCCCAACCCTTTCCCATGGGTTGTTTAGTTGTGAAGCTGGCTTCTCTCTTCTTTGGTTTCTTTTTCCCCTCAGACAAATAGGCCCTTATCTGGCATGGTACTCTAGAAGAAATACTGTTAGTGTAAGACACAAAAGTTACTGATAACAAGTAACTTTTTAGAATGGTAGCACTAGAAAGATAGCACTTGGAGCTAGATTGGCCAGGACAATGAATGCCAAACATAGGACTACATACCTGACCTGAGACCTGAGGCTCAATGGGCCACAATTCTTCAATGATACAACCATTCCCGTGTGGCCGTCCCTTCCGTCTCATCCCAGTGACTCTGAAGGCCCCTCCTCCCTCCATTCACAGGTGCCAGAGTGGCTCTATGCTGAAGTCTTTTCCTTTCCCACCCCCGGCCACTGGCAGGCTCTCCTTGGAGGCTCATGTGGTCTGGGTCTGTGTCTACCCCCTCCCCCGAAGACCACGCAAAGAAATGGGTGCCTGGTTCTCAGCTTCCTTCCAGCTCCTTGGTTTATTACTCATTTACCTCCAGCTCTCCTTAGGCACACCAAGGTATGTGGTGTAACTGTACTGGTTCTGATCCACTTCAGAGACTGCCAGAAGAAGCAGAAGAGGTTCAGAGGAAGAGTCCTGGGGGGGGGGGGTTGGCTAGATTGGAGGTCAAGGTGAAGGCAGAGAACAAGTTCCAAAGGAGTGACAGATGGGGAGAAGTTAAGAGTCAACATTCCGGGTCATGAAAATGGAACCCGGTGGATGGATGGGTGAGAACTAGATCCAGGATGTGGATGGCCATTTTTGCATGCTGAAAGGGCATGACGACGGAGGAGGGGACCCCTTAATTCTAACGGTGAGCCAGCGATTCCTTGAGACAAGACAGAAAAAAGCTGGGATACTAAGAGACCCCCGCAGCCCGCCAGAATCTGAGACACAAGTGAGCCTCAGAGGAGGAAGGGCAATCTGTGAGTGACCAGTGGGGCTGAAGCTGGGGGAGAAGGGGAGCTGGACAGCCACCAAAAAGGCAGCAAGAAGGAAGGAGAGGGCAAATCTCCCACGAAGAGCTTTTCCCTGGAGAGACGGGCGAGGAGCAGGTGTGCTGTATGCACTTTGCAGTGCGCTAATGTCCCTCTGGGGGAGTCGAGAGAGGGTGGCCAGAGGACCACACTGGCCACAGATCCGAGTCTGGGCATACCAGGGGTCCCCTGAGCAACTCTGAGCAGAAAGACAAGGGGAACAGACCCTCGGAATCCTGGCCGAGTCTCCCAGGGCCTCAGCTTCTCCTCCCCGAGCCTCCAGTGCTGGTGTCCTCCCAGCCGTGAGTACGCAGGCTACCCCCAGGGGCGGTCTGTCCTTGGCCCTCCGCTCCTCCTGCCCTGTGTGTTCTCAGGGACTGTATCACTTGTCACCTCCACACAGAGGGCTCAAAGACCGATCTGTGCAGCCGTCACCTCTCTCAGGATCAAACTCACATCAGTGATGGCCACTGGACATTTCCCACAGTAGGTCCACAGGTACCACAAACACAACTACGTCATTCTGCGTCCTCTTCCCCCTCCCAGGCCCCAGGGTCAGGAGCTTGGAGTCAACAGTAGCCGACATTTGTGCAGGACTTTGAGCTTTGTAGAAAACTTCCTCTGCTGGAGGAAAGGGACAGTCCGTGGTTGTCCTCCTCTGCCCACCCAGCACAATGCCCGTCTTCATAGGGGCACTGAGGGCGACCTGAAATGCCAAGGCCATGAAAGTAATGACAGCAATGAAGAGGAGCAGAAAAGAGCAGAGGAGATAGGTCAGTCGGAGCTTCACAAGCTTTAAGAGGAGAAAAATGCCCCCAACCCTGACCCTGACCCTGGAAGTCCTGGTTAGCGCTTCCGAATGACCTTGGGTTGGGTGGGACACACCCAAATACCAGAGATTTTCTGGCATCTCTCTCTGAATCCAGGGGCTGCTTGACCCCAGGATCATGTGGTCTTTGCCAGGCCAAGACCCACAAGAAATTTACTGTAATTATTCTTACTTAAAATCATATTATTTTTCTCCACTCAAAAAAGCCCTTAATGAAATAAAAATGATCATAAAATCTCAACAAATTAGGACATCCCATATGTCACAAACTGTTTTAATAATTTTTCTTGATCCTGACATTTTAATAAAGAAGTCTGGTCTAGTCACTGCCAAGACAAAAGCTAGCTACTGGATATAAAAGTGAGCAAATCTTGGAATTCACGAGCATGACGAGCTGTATGTCAGGGTCAGATGGATCATGGTACACATTCCCTTTCACTAGAAGACAAAACCAGAAAGGGTCTTCATAAACAGCTATTAACGTAAACGGTGCAAGCAATTCAGAAATTTCATTACTACCAATAAAAATTGCCACGTGAGTGAGGATAAGGGTTTTCCATTTAAAAGTGAATCGTCAATACTGAAAAGTCCTCATGGCATCTGTCTGAAATGCCAGCAGTTCAGAAGAATAAAACTTGTTCAGATCAAAAGGTGTACCTAAAAACAAGCAGATTCAGAGAGTCCAAATGGCGGGGGGTGCGGTGGGGGTGGGGGGTGCCAAGGCCTTTGCCCCAAGCCCTGATGAACCGAGATAGGCCGGACCAAAGCATCCCCTACCCCCCAGCCCAAGGGGGAGGAACTGACAGGAGGGTGACCAGGAAGGGGCATCTGACTGCCACCACCCCCTGCCCCCCAACACTCCAAGCGTGCATTTAGGGTTAAGGGGATCTAGTCTGACAAACACAGAGCAAGCTGCCTTGGGGACCCCACAAAACAGGGGCAGGAAATCAAGAACCAGATACTTCTTCCTGTAAGTGGCTTCATACTATGAGACCTTCCACCTAAGTGGAGGTGGGAGGATGGCTGCCCCCCTGGGGTGGAGGGGAGGCAAGGCCTCAACTGTCCATCCCCTTGCTCTCCAGGCCCCAGGCCTAGGGAGGAGGTCCCAAGGCCCTGATGCCAGCACTATTCTGGCATCTCAATGCCATGGGCCAGTGCCCAACGTTGCCATCAGCTTCCATGTTCTCCCTGCAGCTGACCAGAGGACTTGCTCTCTACCCTCTGCCACCCCCCTTCTCCTCTCCCCACACAGAACGGCCTGTATCTCCTAGGATGAGGTAAGCTGGCAACGCCCCCAACTGCCATGCCTTGAGGTGGATGCAAATCCCCCTCTGTGGTTCCACACCTCATCCACCATGAACACAAAGAGCAAGGCACAACCAGATGCCCTGGGGTGAGTCTACCAAAGAAGAAGGGGGTTGGGGCAGGGGGAGGAGAAGATAGAGGTGGTACTGAGACACCTAGCTCACTTCCCACCAGGGGCCCCGGGCCAGCCTCCTCCAGCCTCCAGACGAGGAAGGAGGCAGAACTGAACAAGGCCTAGCCGGGCTCCTGAGGGACAGCTGACCCTGTGACTGGGGCCCCTCCCAGCCCGGCCCACCCGTGGCCCTGGTGGCAGACTCCTTGTCACTGCTCTATAGGTGAAGACAGAAAGCAGATCCTCACAAATGAAGGGGCAGAGTCTTAGAGGCAGGACCACCTAGTTCTCTTTGATTTTTAAAAAGGAAACCCAAAAGGTCTATAGACACTCACACTGAAAAAAATCATGCCCAAGAGGATTCCTGGTCACAGCCTGATCCCTTTTGCCACACAAGACCCCTGAATCTGTGTCACTGCTGCAGCAGGGCAGACTGATTCTCTCCTGGCTCCTCAAATGCCCCATGTGGGGGCCCCTCCTGTGTCCTCTCATTGAGAGATTTCTATCGAGCACACGGCCCCCCCCCCCGGTCCAACCTATCTGTCTCCCCAGTGGGCCCAGGGGTTCAACCATTCTGAGAAGGCGGGTCCACGTGAAATGATGCCCTGTTTTATATTAATCGTGTCCAAGAAGGCATCTCAAAGCAAATCCCCGAAGCTGCTGAGGGCCCCTGTCCTGAGGCTCCCCGCCCTGAGGCCCCGACAGCCCTTCTGAGCGAGCATTGCTGCGGCCAGGAATGCCACATCTTCCTCCCCATCTCTAAGTCTGGCAGGCGGAGCCAGGAACAAGAGTGGGGCTGGGTGCCCGTTACCTCCAGCCTTCGGTCCCCCCGAGGAACCAGGCTTCCGGCCACTGTTGACGGGGTTTCCAGAGGTCTTCGGGGCAGGAACCTTGAAGGCTGAGGCTGCTGTTGACGGCCTGTTTCCATCCACTGACTCCTCATCATCAAAGCTTTTATCTAGAAAGGACATGAGAAAGATGGATGAGGACTGAGCTTTCTGCAGTTTTCTCAAAATTCACGGAGAGAAAGAAATCAAACACAGACAAATTATGCTCGCTTCTGGGTCTAAGTGAGAGATGGACAGCATGGACAACGTCAGGCCTTTCTCACTCGAATTTAGGCTGCCAAACTGGAAAAGCATGGCTCTAAAATCCAGCGGTGCAAGCCAGCATCCCCCGGCCTCCCCTGCACGGCTGGGCAGGGCAGGGCCTTCTCGCCGGCATCCCTCCCAGCTTCCACCCAGATGCTACCACTTACAATCACAGATCCGCTTGCAAATCAGACGCCTCATGCCTCCAGCAGCCCGCTGGCCTGGCCCTCACTGGAGGCTGCTCCCAGGAGTTGCCATGGCCCCACCCCGGCCACTCAGGCAGAATCACACGCTCTGTCCAGAGCCGACGGGAGCCAGCCAGGAGCCAGCACCACAGAGGCAGCCTGGTGCCGGCATCTTTCTTTCTCTTCCCTGCCTGCACTAGGTACTGCAACAGCCAATCAGCTGTGAGGTGACATCATCTTCTGGTAGCCCAGCCTGATGAAAGGTGAAAATTCTCCCCGCATGTAAAAAGCAGCTCCAATGGCTGCCCTTTCCCAGGATTGCAGTGGGGGACTTCCAGAAAGCCAGGCTCCCGCCTGGGCGACTCACACACACACACACACAGAGAGCCAGGCTCACCAGAGAGGCCCAAAGGGCAGACGCCCAGCCAAGACAAAAGATGGGCCTTCTCATGCCCCTTGGGAAACCTGAGGAAACCTCTCCTGTCTCAGGGTCTCCAGGGAGTGCCCCGGACCTAGCAACGCGAAAAACACACCATCACTTGCTTCTATTTTGGCAGAAACAAAAAGTACCTCTCCATTCTCACAGGAACGCGTGGGTCCCATTTTTTAACATCCGCTTTAAACCACGCTGCACTCCTGACACCCCACCGTGATCGCTGCTAGAAGGCCCTTCCCCCAAGAAATGGTCCCCCTCCCTATTCCTCCCCCGTGGGAGGGGGCCTCTAGGACCCCACAGAAGCCACCCTGGCTTTGGCATCACAAACAAGAGAGATGATAGGGATGCAAATTCCAGGACCAAATTCTCTCACTCTCTCTTTTTAAAACATTTCCCCTTCCAGGGACAGTTTCCAGACAATGCAGCTGACTAGGCTGATGGGAGTCCTAGCCAAGGCAACATTAAACTCCAGCCCAGGGAGGAAGCGGCATGCGGCGGCCTGGCCAAATCTGTCCTTGAGAGCTGCTCAAAGGCACAGCTCGGTGCAACAACCCAGGGTCTTACATGGGTGCTCACCGCCTCGCCCAGAGCGACAGGTAGGGAGGAGACGAGCTCCCTGAGGCCATGACACATTCTGCATCCAGAGTTCCCATGGAAACAGGCATGAAGTGAAGACGGAAGGCTGATGCCAAGTTTTAAAAAGAATTAACTCTTCAGATACTCCAAATTTAGAGGCGCAGATTCACCTACATCAAGTGTAGCAATGCTCTGACCTCAGACAAGATTTGGAAACACCCCCCCCCCCCCCAAACTTTAGGTTCTACACATTTCTTTTACTTCCTCATAAAGGCTGAGAAGCACCAGAATGAGAGGTCACTGGGATGGAAGCAACAAAGGACAGAGGCCTGGGCTTTGGCATTCACCGAAAATGAAAATAATTTCCATTGTGATTCAAGGGTTTAATTCCATCCACCGCCCATCTCCACTCTAATGAGCTCTTTCTGGGATCCCACCCTGCTGCTAGGGGAAAGGCCTGCTCAGCACAGAACCCTTCACTCTCCCCTCCCACGGGCCCCAACCCTCCAACGGCTGCCAAGTGACATATCCGAGTCTGGAGGGATCTGACCCCATCCCTCCCCTGTTCACAAATAGACTCCTTCCACAAGCCGACGGGCCTTCCCAGATCCCTCCTCTTTCTCCTTTCTTGCATACAAGGCTTCCATCTACCAGGTGGTGCCAGGCTTGAGAGAGCTCACCCTCCCCGCCAATGACCTTAGGTCTGCCTGGCTGGGTGAGCACGTGGTAAACCCTGGTGGACCAGGGGACTCAAGGGGGAGGGCAGGCTCTCCGACTCTGGCCCTTCTACTCCTCAGACCAAGGCATATATGTGGTGGAGGCATAAGCCGCACCCGCTACTGATGGGGGTGGTCACTGCTTTCTAACCCTTCCCCCAGTGGCATGATCCTTCTTCCCTTGCCCGGCCTTCCTGGAGTCCCGGCTACCAGCTCACAGCCAGTGCAGACACAGCCAGAAGGCAGGATTCCACGTTGTGCAGATCCTCTCCAAGGCAGCTCCAAGAAGGACAGGGGGAACCCTACTACAAACCAGGAGGCAAAGTTTCTTTTCCTAAATTCTGCAGTTTAAATAAATGCCCTGGCCGGTGCTCACAGTCGCACCATTTGAAAACACCAATGTCCTCAGTACAGCCCCCTCGAGACCTCTTCTGACGCCTGCCGCTTGGCTCCTGGAGGCAGAGAACACAACGTGGTCATCTTCCTGGATGGACAGGAGGCCCGGGTTCAAGGGGTCAGCAGGATAGAGAGATTTATGACCCTGGGAAGGAATCAGAGCAGACACCGCTGCTTCTCACACCCACCTCTCCAGCGGTCGATGGACCGGATCCCTCTGGAGGAGGTCCTGGGAACCCCTTCTTCACGGAGCAATCAGCAAGTGTCTGCTAATGCCCTATTATGTGCACAGCGCCGCAAGAAGCACTGAGGGTGCAGCGGGGAAATGCTCTCTGCCCTCTAACACCTGCCGCAGAGGCCGATCCCATATCCAGGCAGGCAGCACCCATCATCCCTCCCGGCACCGAGGAGAGAACCCCAGAGCTGGCCCGCTTTCATGTTCACAAAGCACTTCAGAGGTTGATCTCTGGTCCTCCCACCTTCTAAATGCTCATTCCTATTCTACAGATGAAGAAACTGAGGCTGACTATCCAATGGAGCACTAGAACTTAGGCGTCCTGAGGTCTCCTCTGGGGTCCATCCCTCCCAATCCACTGCCTCCTGATCCTGAAGGCTGCGGGCCTGTCAAAGAAGCGGCCAACTTTCAGAGAGGCCAGAGGGCCAGGTTTTCCATGGAGAGGCCTGTAAGTCTGACTGGCCTCCAGCTCATCTCTGCAGGGAGTCAGTGTCAGCGCAGGGCACTAGGTGAGGGAGGGAGCAGTATGGAACTGTTCTTGTTCCATAAAAGGAGAGCACGAGAGCCCCTGGCAAGCCTCAAAGCCCGACGTAAATGCTCACTATTGTGGGATGGGAAATCTTGAAAAAGATGCATCAGTCCCCTGGGAAATGGCTTAATAAATGAAAGCCCTTCACTGGATGCTTCCTTCCTGCCTGCCCAGCCCCAGACCCCCCTACTCTAAGGAAGGGGCAGACACCCTCCCCGTCCCCACCCGCTCCTCCAGAACCAATTTGGGCCCTCTGCTGGTGCCGAGGAGACCCTGGTGACCCTGTCTCCTCTTCCATGACCCGGCCCCCTCAGCTTCCTGTAAAGTCCTCCTCACAGCACAGCAACATTGCAATTTAAGAGCCGTCAGAGCCAGAGGGCAGGCTCTCTGAACAGAATGAATCCTGATGTGGAAAATGCGGGGGCTGTTTAAGGAGAGCAGCTTGGACTGGGAGGTAGTGAGCAGCAGGGGTCAGAGAGAAAAGCGCAGCCACGCCCTGGAGACGCCAGAGGGCACGCTCATTCACAAAGTGCTCCTACGCGAGTTTGAGTTTAAGCTCTACAGGAGAACACAGCCCTTCATATCCATGAACACAGCATGTATTGAGCACTTAAGGTGTACAAGGCCTTGGAGACACAAACAGAAAGTGAGACAGGCCCTGCTCTAATGGGGGAGACTGTACCCAGGGAAGGTTTCAGTCGCCAACCAGTGGGAAAGGTGCCAGGGTCCCCAGGGGGCAGGGACGGAGCAGAGGGCCTCCTCCACTCCCAAGCCTGTCTCCCGGAGGGGAGGTTGGCCCCTTCCCCACATGGCAGCCCAGCTGGAAGCAGGGTCCCGACGGCCACGAAGGAATCGGGCCTCATCTCCATCAGTGGCCAAGGTAGTGAGGACTGCATACGCTGGGCACATGCCGTCTTGCCTCTCCTTCGGGATCTCTTGCTGCCCACCCAAAAGATCTACAAATAGCCAATAAACATTTATTAAGTACCTACAATGTGCCAGGCACCGCACTAACTGCTGGGCATTCCAACAAGGACAGTCCTTTCCAACAAGGGGCTTGCAATCTAAATGAGGAAAGGATGAAGTCAGCCCCCAGAAAGGCTCAGGTCAAAGACAAATGAGGTTAGATATAAGGACAGAGGGGCAGGGGCGCTCCAGGATCAGGGCAGGCTGGCTGGGCTTGGGCCTGACAGGAGAGGGCGCAGTGGAGAGAGCCCTGGAGGACACCGACAAGCGAGTCCTGAAGGCTCCGCAGGTGTGAACAAGGGTGGTGGATGACCACAGCACCCGCCTCCCGAGAGAACACAGCTAACATGTGACAAACATTAACTAACACCAGCTTCACTGGTGGTACCATGGCAGCTTTGTGGAGGACGGACGCCAACAAGCATGGATGAGGCGCCTACTGCGTGCTGGCGCCAGGTGAAGCGCTGAGGAGACACAGAAGGTCAGAAGACAGTTCCTGCCCTCCGTGGGGGCAGGGAGCTCAAAGCAGGGGCTCGGGGTGATTTGGGGAACGAGGCGAGAGGATGGGCTGGCACAGTGCCAAGGAGGTAACAGGGTCATAGGGGACTCCTTCTACAAGGATGAGGAGTTTCCAGGGAGGGTAAAGTCGGGTGGGACAGGATGAGTTGAATGATCTGGGAGCCCTCCTTAAACAGGGGCAAATCCAGGAGGAGCCAGGAGAAGGTGCGCAAGACTAGATGACCCCTCCCACGGAGGAGAGAGAATGATGACCTTAATGACAGGAAAGGCAAACAAAAGGCTGCCCTGAGCCTTCTCTGGAGAAGGAAG